TTCAAATTCTTGCCTGTTCTATTATGTAGGGATGATACAAATGCCATCCCTACTATTTTGTTTGCATTGTTATTGAAGGATTGATATTAGCCATCCCTACATTTACTTCCTTTTTGGAAAAGTATTTTTCTTTATTTGTTTTTTTTAATGCAATATTTCAATAGACATCGGAAGATTGTATTTACAATCCGAGCCATCCCTACACAGACAGTGCTACCACCTGCCTCATAACCAAGTTCTAAATACAAAGAGGTTCCAACTATAATATTTATTGTTTATCTATTATTGGTTGGTAATTCCTGTTTCACCCTGTACTAAAGCTTTTTAAAGGAACAACAAATTTCTCTAAGAAAGCTAATTTCAAGGGATAACATCGTTTACACTAGAATCATGATTTTTTTATATTACTACTAGTTAATAATAATACTTATAAAAGTGTACATTGCATTTGAAACTATGTCAATTCAGTGAAATTGGTTGACACCATTGTTTTGGTTTCCATGTTATCATGTAATAAAAAAGAAGCAGAAGAAAGAAGAACAAGAAAATCAAACTTTTTTGCTATGATATTTATAAGCATTCCCAGAACTTGTGACTCAGTCATTACATTGTTATAAAAGGAAACACTGTATAGTATTGTAAAGTTCTGATGACCTATTCAGGATATATTTATAATACCATTTCAATGAACAATCAGAGCCATCCCTACATAGGCAGTGCTACCACCTGCCTAATAAATAACAAACCCTGCTCTACATCAAAAACTGACTTTAGAAATTTAAACATTCCTGAGATATTATGCATAATACAGGTATATAAGGCACTTATAAATGCAGACTTTATATGTATATAGAAAAAAAGCATTTTGTACTTAAGTAATGTTAGAAACCAGCAGAGAAGAGACAATTTTCACAATCTGATAATAAGCTGGATGTAGATGGTGCATGGACAGCTAATGTTCCCAAATAAAAACTTACTTGCAATATACATATATGTTAATAATTAGTAGACTGAATAATTCTGCATGTGACACTTTTTTAGTATAGGTTCTAATTTTCACAAACCAACTATAACATTATAGATGATGAGCTGTTCATTGTAACACATGCATGTAGCTTCAACATGATTTAAAATGCAGGTAGAATTGCATATATTAATTAGAAACTCAATAGCGGGTCTTGATTAAGCTGTAAGGGATGTAACTGTGTCAAAAGCACAGTAATGTTATTACCATATAATATGCATAAATTGTCAACTTACTTAGCATTAACCTTCAAATATTCATAACTGCTTGGTTAATATTAATTATGCTAATATCATTTCCTTGTACCGAGCAATAACAAAATGTTTCTAAATAAACTGAGTGTTGATCTTGTGATTTTAGTCAAGCATACTACTGAATTATTCCTCAACGAAATATATATTTCATCTGTAACATAGCTGCTTCTATGATATTCGCCAAGACAAGTTAATTCTTTTTATTTTTCACTGAACTCACCCAGTATGCAGAAAAAGATTCAAACCACTGCACAAAACATTGGGAACTTGACATGCAACACCAAGGTAGGAGAGAAAATTTCTTCTAAAATCTTCTGTCTGAATGTTAGATTCATTGACATTGAGCTTCAAGTCCACAAAATACTAAAAAAAAGAAAGTGAAAATGATAAAGTTAGATTATATTTTGATTTATAATATGGGAAATTATTATTTCTTCATTAGAGTTTCAGAAAATTTCCAAAAAATGCCAGAACTTTACCACGTGTTCATGAAATATTAAAATAAAAGACAAACCAAATGATATAACTGAACAAAATGTTTTGTCATTTCTATGTACAATTATGTTTTCTCTTTCCATCTTCTTAAAAGATAATAATACTCTGCTAGAAATTTGTTTCAATTCAGTTGTATTGCTACATTTTTGTGACATTCAAACAGTTTGTGAATACTCCAATCTTACAAGAAAGAGAAAAAAAATATAGAGATACATATGATACTGAAATAGCATAACATTGTAATTCTGTTTCAAAATTTATTACAACTGTTAGGTTTTATAAAAAGTAACTGAAGATAGGTTTCTTTTGAACAGATACCAGCATTATACAGAGTACAGCGTGTGGAAAATGGCATTTTTAACCTAAATGGGATCATGGGTTATTGGTCAAGTTAGAAAGCTTAGGATTTAGTTATAGCAGTCTCTAATTTTGAACTACTAATGAGAAGAGATGCAATCACTACCATGGTTGGTTTAGCTCTTTTGAATTTAATAATGTAATTAATTGTCACTTATATAGCTGAAAGTACAGAGTACATTGAACAACACACTAACATGCTAACAAACAGGCCTACAAAATGCAAGTAAATTGAACAAATATAAGATATATAGGCCTACAAAATGTGGGAAGAACAAAAATAAGATGTTGTCAGTATTGTTACACAGACCAATACATTAAAAACTAAGCCTACAAAACAAGGGAAAATAAACATAAGATAACTTTGTATAATTTAATAAAATTATTTTAGACTTTTACATAAACCTTGGAAGTTGTCACTTTATTACTAATATAACTGAATTTATGATTTAAAAAAAATCATATAGCCCAAATATCCTTAAAATGCACATATATAGTTATATATATTTTATAAGACAGGCAGCTGAAAACAAGAAAATGTTTTAATATTTTTATATATGTTTTCCAACATCTTTCACTAAGTCTCAACTGTAACTTTAATTGTTCTTTGTCTGTACTAATCATTCATCTTGCTGTACTATCAAACTTTATAAATGAGAATTCAACAATAAAACTTCAAACTAACTGTTAATTTCATCAACTGTTTTTGTGATCAAAACTCATCTTAGAGAAAAAAATTAATGGCTTTAAGGGGATCAGATAAAAGTGAGGATTTTATAGTCTCCACACTTCAAATATCTATTATTTTAGCTTTGAATGGGTATAGGTGAAACAATTAAAACAAATGATCTTTGAGAAATCCAGTTTTTTATCAACATTTTTTGTATTCTTTGCATTATTATATACTTACAGCATTGGCAGTTACATGCATGTTCCATGGCATAAGAGAACCAGTTCCAAATAACATCAGGATAAGGTAGACCATATTAAATCTGAAGAGAGAGAAAAAAATGAATTAATGAACATGTTAATTTGAACTTATAATAAACACCACAAACAAATATAACAAAATTTATATTCATATTTGTGTTCTCTAACCCTACCATATGAAAGTTATAATTTTCCTACACTGAAAATATATTTCCAATAGATACTTACCTCGATTGGTGCTGCCCTCTATATGCACAATTTTACACTCACCACTAGCCTTGATACTCTCACCTACCCCACATGTTTATAACTGCACTATGGCATGCAAATAAGCATGGGACAGCCCTCCAACAATAGGAGTGCAACACACTCTCCTGGTGCAGAATCAAATCTTCAGTTTGGGATTAGGAATCCTACATTGAACTGGTGCAAAATTTACCTAGATGAGAACCCTTTGAATAGAATTTGAAGAGAATCCATGGAGTGTGACATCGCTCTGTATAAGAATACACCCATGGAAGACTGCATCACATCTGCACCAGATAGATTAGTGTCACTAAATTGAATGGAATGGAGGGCATCCAATAAACAATTGGATGCACTAAATGGTGCAGAGTGGCTAGAATGTGTCAAACCATAATCAATGGGTCAACTCCATTCCAAAAACAGTCAGCATCAGGTAGTTGTCTTCAAGTTCGTGGTAGGAGGTGGTTTCCAACCGCTTTCACCTTAAGCTTAGGAAGCAGAAGAGAAAACAACTTTTTCCATTCAAACAACCCAATCAGGGAAAGTGTGCAGACTCAGTACACAACCAATCCCAGGCCAGCCAGAAACCTGACATTCAGATGACGGTAGAGAGGCAGAATGCAATGTGGTGGTTCACAGAAATCAAAAACCTACTAGCATTGGAAATTTATTGTCCAGTCTGTGGTAGGACGAGGGCTCCCTACCATCCAAGTGAGAGGAATGATGTTGGCTGATCCAGCTCTACTCCAACACCAGACCACCTGGGAACCAACATCCAGGCAGTGGCAGGATGAGGGATCTCAGCCAGAGGAATGAACTGTAATTGGTGGACTATTTCCAGTCCAAAATTAGGTGGCATCAGGTATATGCTATCCGGTCTACAGTAGGAAGAGGGTTTACACCATCTACACTGACAGAACATACCTCCCTAGTCTTATCTGAATGGATTTCAAAAACTCCATGGCCCACCATACCAATGGCTAGGAGCTTGTAAGTGGCAAGAACCCCCATACTTTACAATGTGGTGGGGAGTATGGAGGAACAAAGAAAACACTGGAGAAAGTGCAATGGGTGACCATGAAACCCAATTTTTCAAAGCAGGTCAATCCCAATTTATTCAACTAGAATTGGAGGAATGGGTAACTATGGCGACTCTGCTTTGCTCCTGATAGTCCATGAGGTCTGGGATGGACACATTTATAATGCAAAACACCACAAGGAAACCACTAGTAGTCTTATGGAACACCCCACCTCAACAGTGGGCATTATAGACCTTAAAGACTATACAGTGTAAATTCATGGATTAGTATACCTGAACAGGCACCACTCCCCATAGAGCAGAATCCAATATGTAAAGTGTGCCACAGTAATGAAAATAATGAGATTAAAAATTACTTGCCCACTCACAGTTGAACTGAGGTGTGGAGAATAGCAACATGCCACATGATGAAGATAATGAGAGATGAAGGTTTGTGATGGTTCACATGTTAGCCTGGATGATTTCCTTCAAGGTGTGACGGAAGTAGGCAGCAAAAGAGCGGGTGGGGTGATGAAACTGATGCAAGGATACCTTTAACATACATTTGAAATCAGGAGACAAGGAAGAATAAGCCAACCAAATACGTTGGTGAATCCAACCCGTAAAGATGATAGGGAAAATGTCTCAGGTAAAGAAAGCATTCCAATGGATTAACGAGCATGATCTGGAACCATGGAATGAAGCTGTGAAAGCGATATAGCACCAGAAGACATGAAAAGGACAGAGAAAACGATCCAGATCAGAGTGGGAATACAAATGGTAAATGGAAGGAAGGGAAATATGTGTGAATGTGACGTCACGTTCACGAGTCGCCAACATCTTGGGGAAAGAAACTGCAATTAGGATACAGGAGAACATAGGTGAAGTGGTAAAGTATACATTAAATGTCGAGGGCGAAAACATCTGACCCACGATGACAACAGGCAAAAAGGAGCAAAAAATAGGTCTTCAAGGAGAAGTGGTATAATGAACAGGTAGCCAAGGGTTCAAAAGGAGGTTGAGGTCCCAAACTGGAAGAGGCTTAAAATGAGGTAGATGAAGGAGCCAAAAGAAGCAAAACATAAGTGAGAGGACAGGAAATGAAAAAAAATATTGTATGTGAAAGGGAAAAATCAAAGAATTTGGATAAGGCTGCCTGATAACTGGCAATGGTAGACACAGAAGAACGAATGTCAAACAGCAAGGGAAAGAATTCCAAAACATGAGGAACACTGGGATGGGAAAAGAGGTAATCATGGTGCAGTTTGTTTGTTTGTTTCTTTATTTTTGAATTTTGCGCAAAGCTACACGAGGGCTATCTGCGCTAGCCATCCCTAATTTAGCAGTGTAAGACTAGAGGGAAGGCAGCTAGTCATCACCACCCACCGCCAACTCTTGGGCTACTCTTTTACCAACGAATAGTGGGATTGATCGTCACATTATAACGCCCCCACGGCTGAAATGGCGAGCATGTTCGGTGTGACAGGGATTCGAACCCGCGACTCTTAGATTGCGAGTCAAGCACCTTAACCACCTGGCCATGCCGGGCTCATGGTGCAGAGACTAATGGCATAAAATGCACCATTTTCTCTGATAAACCATTAAGGACAAAGGACAGATACAATGGGAAAGAATGTATGCTACCCTTGTGGAGAGTCTAGACCTCCTTGCAAGGGACTGAACAAATGCCACGTGTGAAGCAGAGTGTGGTGATGGCAGAATGACTCACTGGTAATTGAGGTTGTCATAGCAAGGAGTGGGAAAGACGAAGTGGTAATGGGGGGATGACTGAAGTAGGGTAAGGACTGGAAACCACAGTTGAGCAGGCCAGGAAGGTGCAATAGTTTGGGTAATGGATAAAACTCTAGAAAGGAGATGGATAGGGGGATATGTATAAAAGTAAAAGCTGGACCAATCCTGACTGAAGGCATTACCACCAAAGCCAAAGAATGTAAAACAGGGGGCCCAAAGAGGGTGGGTTTGGAATTGAGTGCACAACCCCCAAAACCCTTGAAGAACTAGGGATCACTATGTAGGGAGAATCTTCTTGAGACGATACAACTGATCAACAACAAGATTCAGAGCACTTGGGACATAACATGCTAATAGGTGTGTGCGATATGAATGGGCCCAGAATAGGAGTTCTAACATTCAAAAAACAAAGCAAACGTGAATGGGTGCCACCTTTTCGATTGATGTAAGGGACAATAGTCAAATTGTTGGAATGGAACATGACCAATTTGTTCCATACCAAAGGTAGGAAATGATCTGAGGCTTGATAAGCAGCAAGAAGCTCCAGAATGTTATGTACAGAGCCGATTTGACCAAAGAACAACAATTTACAATTTCCTGGGAATCCATAAGTGCTCCCAAACCCATCAGAGAAGCAGTTGTAAAAAGATGCAATTCAGAATGAGTAGGTGGAAGAGGAATGCCCACTGTGGTGTTGTCTCTGTTGAGCCATCAGCCTAAATCGATGCAAAGTGATGGAGGGAATAAGATAACCAAATCTAAGGAATCCTGTGCAAGATTCCATTGATTGTGTAACACCCACTAAAGGGCGTACATGTAAGCATGATCCAAGGGAATAAGGGCTTCCATGAAAGCCCAAGTCCCCAAAAGAGAAAGAATTTTGCTTGCTGTGACAGGAGAGGATTGACAAGCTTGACAAACCAATCCGCACGAGCCATCTCTCGAGAAAAGTAATTGTGTGTGCATGTGAGATGTGTGTAGGGACGAAGCAGAAAATCGTCAATATAATGATGAAACTGCAATCCAGGAGAATGAAGAAGATGGGCGATAGCCCTGACCACCCAACAAAATACATCGAGTATGGAAGCTAGACCAAACAGATGAGCATAGAAATGGCAAACATGATCTTTGTGGACAAAACAAAGGTAACATCTGGATGTTGGGGAAATAGAGGTGTGAAGGTAAGCATATGAGACATTCACCTTTGTCATCCAAAGAAATCGAGTAAATGCCCACTGAGAAGTGAGGAAGGATTGCATGGTGAAACTAGGGAGGTCAATAAAATGGTTGATACTGGAAAAATCTATGATAGGATGCCAGTCCACAGTCTTCTTGGGAATTATGAACAACCTGGAATAGAACTTTGGAGAAAGGTGACTGATGAGTTTGTTTGAAGTTAAGCACAAAGCTACACAATAGGCTATTTGTGCTCTGCCCACCATGAGTATCGAAATCCAGATTCTGGTGTTGTAAGTCCACAGACATACTGCTGTGCCACTAAGAGGCTAATGGGTTTGATAGAGTCATTGAGAAATATATACCAAACTGCTTCAAAAAGACACTGGCAGGAAACTGGATCCCAAGGAGGAGAAAAGGGAATGAAATGAGGGGATAAGGGAGGTGGAGTTAGAGAACAAAAGAACATTCTTCAGATAAAACTTGAAATGCCCAAAGATCTGAGGTGAAATTGCCCTAAAGGTGCACAAACCTGGCTAAACATACTCCAACTGTGCTAGAACCTATGATATATCGCCAATACCATTGGTGGCAGGGAACCCGGAGATGATTAATCTGTCAGCTAGCTGCCAAGATCCGGGAGAGGGTAACAGGAAAAAGGGTGGAAGGGGAAGGGTGGGAAACAGGAGCAGGTGAAGGCTGTGAAAGACGCAAAACCAAGGATGAAGTGTTGATGAGCAGCCTCCACCCTGGACTCCAATGAAGGTAAGCATACTTGATCTAAAAGCAAACCTCTACCCAGGAGATTCCAACAACAGAGGAGGTAAGTTTGTGGGAAAGGGTTGAGGAAAACATGAGGGAGAGAATATA